GTGAATGATGGCACGAGTAACACACTATGCACTCTTGTCCGTTGTGTATATTATAATGTTCATGGATTTGTGCAATAGAAATTGGACCATAATGAGATCACAATAATAAGATCGATTCACCTTTAAACATAAATTCTAAATAATTCTGATCATAGGTTACTCGAGAGGAATATCGAAATAATTGGATAGATTAATGTGCTGTATACCTATCCATATGATGGAGGTAACTGGTTTTATGGTTACTCGTGTGGGGACACTATGGATATAGTGTAGGTGCTCATTGGAGAATGAGTTAATTGATCGATCCGCTCACGAAATATTGGATGATTAATGATACCTTATTGTCAGACAACGATTTTGTTATTCTAGTAGTATATCTAATCCTTAAACTTGAGATACCAACGAGGTTCTATCATCCTTTTTTATTTTTTTTTTATTTTTTTTCCCTTAGTCTCTTCCTTATAGTTGCTCGTAGACTCCTCTCATGAAAATGACGAAATCTAAGGTTGAGGTGGAGGTGGAGAGGGTGATGAGGAATTGCACCGAGTGGAGATTGTGCGAGACTAAAGGCAAAACAGTAAAGATGATTCAGAAAGGATGTTTTATGGGGATGAAACAAAAATGTCCTATGTGAGAAATAATAAAATTTAAGATTTTTTAAAATTTTGATCAAAAAGTAACTGCAAATGAAATAATTTAAGAATTTTGAAATGTTCATGGGCCCCGCTGTTTTTGTTGTCTAGCGGATTAAGCCCAAATACAGCCCATTAAGCACTCGTCAATCTCCGATTACTCGCGAAACCGAGCGAGATCATATGCTTCGTGTCTGCCGTTAGATGAAGATCTAAGGGTCAGAAGCAATGAGACGGCACTTGACGATCAGTATTCTTAACCCTGCCGACTCCGCTGCTCTCTCGATCGGTGCCGAGAGCTGTGCGTTAGGGTTTGCGCGGCGTCCTTTCTCACCGCCGCCGTAGTCGATCCTCACAAAGGTGCGATCTCTTTGGCTTCTCGTCTTTTCCTCTCCGCTTCTCTTCTTTGATTCCAGCAATAGATGCACTACCAATATATTTCTTTCGTGGATCTGGGACGACTCCGCCAGTTTGATTATCTCTGTTTTGGTCTATTGTTCTTTCGCTAGAGAGCTCATCATTGAATCTCATTGAAGACGCACTTTGCTTTGCTTGAAAATTTCAAGTTTTATCATTGCAAGTTGTAGTAAAGTTGAGAGAATCGCCATCGTTCTTTGTTTAAGTAATACTCACGTCTTACTGAACCTAGCAATCATAATGGGGAACATTGTGTTAGGCATACAAGCCATTATCCACTCGATTGTTTCCTACTTGTTGTTGTATGCATCTTCTGTGTTACCAAGATAGTTTAATAACGTATTAGTATGATAAATATTTTGAATTGGATTAATAGAAATCCCAAAAAACCTAAGCTGTTGGTATAGGACTAATCCATATTAAATTCTACCATTCCCTCTAACGTGAAACTGAACCAAGTGATCGGGAGAAATATTTTACAAAAAATATTAATTAAATATCAAACAAATTAAAGAGAGAAATATAGAATTTGAACTCACAATCTGTTCGGATATCATGATAATTATTATTTTTTGGGTTATCACAAACCCCAAGTGTAATAATTTTTCTTAGGTTGTCGCAAATCCAAAAGCTTAAGTTGTTAGGAACTGATCTAATCTATATTAATTTCTAATATAGAATGATATGATATTTTGTTTCTTTTATTATTTTCTCTACCTCAAGGTTCAGTGTTTATCGAGTGGATATTACTTGTTACTACTCCAAGGCTGCTAAGTCTGAGGAATTCACCTTTATTTGAATTTGATTATCTCATTGTTAATTATTAGCTAATGATAATAGTGATGATCTATTATGGGCAAATACATGTGTACTAAAATTTTTCCCGCTGATGTTAGTACTCTAACCATGATCATCAGGCATATGTTTAATGTATATTATTTATTGCCTAATATGAGTGGACATTTCTGGCAGGCTGTGTAAAAAATGGTGAGAGTCAGTGTCTTGAATGATGCTTTGAAGAGCATGTATAATGCTGAGAAGCGCGGGAAGCGGCAGGTCATGATAAGACCATCGTCAAAAGTGATAATCAAGTTTCTACTTGTTATGCAGAAGCATGGTTAGTCCTGCAATTTTATTTTGCTTTTGTGGCATTGAAGTATTACATTTTGATGATAACTACAAATTCTGTAGGCTACATCGGGGAGTTTGAATACGTAGATGACCACCGAGCTGGTAAGATAGTGGTAGAACTGAATGGGAGGCTGAACAAATGTGGTGTTATTAGTCCTCGCTTTGATGTGGGTGTTAAAGAAATTGAGCCGTGGACTGCCAGGCTACTTCCATCTCGTCAGGTATGTTGCTTTTACTTCTTTGTAATTAACACTGTAATCCTTGCTTATAGGATTTGAAATTACTATGGTGTTCTTGTACCTGGCCAAAGTAAAATTTGCTGTAATTTTTTGCTCTTGAAGCTTGTGGTAATAATTGTTTGTTATGTTAAATGGACAGTTTGGTTACATTGTTTTGACTACCTCTGCCGGTATCATGGATCATGAAGAAGCCAGGAGGAAGAATGTAGGTGGTAAAGTACTTGGATTCTTTTACTAGACCAGATGATCTATCTCTATTGGAGGATTGAGAGTTGCGGTGCCGTGGTTCTGTCGGAATTTTTGAAGTGGATAATTGGAGCATTTTTGCTATCCTTTTTTATATGATTTGTATTAGACTTAAAAATCAACTAGAGATGTTTTTATTTGAAGTTCTGTTCCTTATGATTACTCTGGATTCTCGTGAAATCTATTCTAGTTTTTGTCTGTCAAAACACGAATGTTGAATTGTGTGTTGTTTGATAATGCATTCTAGTCATCCATGTACTTTATGTGATACAGAAAACATTGGATGACTGATCGAAATGGCCGGAAACCAATACCCAAACTTGGGCTTAAATTTGACTGTGGAAGTATACTTTTTCTTTCTAAGTTGAACTCGGATGAATCCAATCATCGCCGATGACACGCTATCTAATTTGTCATGTGTTTGAACCAATCAATGCAACATGGAATGGAAAATACTACCGAGGAGGAACATTTCCCAATTAGAAGCATTCAAAATCGATTGAAAGCTCAATCCGCGGCATTTGATATTTCAACATTTTGACCTCCGCCTTTAACACGTACATCGTCAGCCGCCTGGGAAGGGGTCAAGTCAGGTCGGCAATTCATGTGGTCTCCCTTCGGTGATAGGATCCGGAATGACCAAAATCCAACAGGGAAAGCATCCGATAAAGAAGAGCCCGTTCCAACCATTCGATATTTATAATATAATATGTATCATCGTTTTGGATCCTCAAGATCCGAATCCGACCCGATATTTATCCTACCAATATGACATTATAAATCCTTTGCCATGCGCAATTCTAACGAATAATTGAAAATATTCCCGTACCCGTTTCAGCGTACGCGCTGCCGCACCTTCTATGTGTTTGGACACGGTCGTGGGTATGGTCGTTGGGGCCCCACGTTTCTCCGAGAAAGAAAAACGAAAAAGATAAATAACGTGGTGTGTTGGTCACTCGCTACTATTTCCTCCTCTCTCTCCGATCTCGACGGCCGAACCCACGGCCACAGAGAGAGATCCCTCTTCGCCTCCAAATCTGCCCTTTTCGATCTCTCCATCTCGTGAGACCTCAGAGCCTTCTTCTTCCTCTTCCAATCGAGGAACCTCGTGAGCTCTTCCCCTCTTTCTGCCCTCTCGTTTTCTCTTTTCCTATCTTTGCTTCCCATTTGGTTTCGTGGATCTCTATTTGTCTTGATCGGTTGCATTTTGATCCATTTACTCAGGGAGGAAGGGAGGGAGGGGATCCTTGGCCGTGGCGTAGGATTAAGGAATCAAGATCGCAATGGCTGCTCCACCTGCTAGGGCACGGGCTGATTACGATTACCTCATCAAGCTTCTCCTGATCGGCGACAGCGGTAGGGTTCTCTCCATCTCTCATTCCGACGCATGTGCTGATGAGATTTTGGGCCTTTTTTTGCTTTCCCCGTTTTGATGTGATTCCTTTATCTCAATTTTGATTTGTGGAATGTTGGATTGGTGTTCCGGTATGGCTGGGATGGATCGGCATGAAATCGTGGATTATGGAAGATCTAAGAGTGGTTTACAGATTGATATCTGTTTGAGACAAACATTTCTTTTACCTGGGGATCCCGTTTAGCTGTGTCGCGCACAATAGGGGTGCTAGATCTAGTTAGATCTTATACTTTTGGTCGGGGCACTAGGTTTCTTGTGGCATGACATCCGAAACCAACCATTTGATGCTTCATCCAGCGTTCCAATGTGTTCACTTTTGTCTTGTTATTTCTTTAGGAAAAAAATCTCTTTTTTTGCCTTTTCTTTCTCTGGAAGGATGCTTTGTCATCATGATCATTGTCTAGCTGGCACACTCTTTTATGTGATCCAGGTTAAGCTGACAGGAAAGGGGATTAAGTTGATCTATCTATATTTGCATGTGACTTGTATGTTATCGAGCATACTGAAAGGTTATGTCAACACACCTGGAGTAGTTTCTCGTCTCTGGTAGCTTGTAACCATGGATGTTATGTTTTTTGTGCTCCTAAGCTTGGAATTCGATGAGTTCTCTGATCCACTAGATTACAGATAACTTTTCGTTGGAGCCATGATAATCTTTTCATTTCTTGGTTGGTAAGGATATGCTCAATATGTTGGTACGGTACTAGGACCTTGAATGATTGAGATTTGGGTGCTCATGAAAGATGCATGGGGGAATGATGGAAATTTGGGTGCTCATAAACGATGTATGGGGGGCTGTGTCTGGAACCTTTTATAAGCCGTATGCTGATTGATGAGACTTGACAGATACTTTATACTACTGCTGTATCCTTCATCTTAATTACTTAAAGAGAGTAAATTTGGATCCAAAATGGTAAATTTTTTAAAGACATTGTGTAATGGGTTAAAGATGAGAGTTAACCATGGTCTCTGTTGTTACAATCTTTCTCTTGTTTAAAAGATTATATACTTGTAAAATGCATGGAATCTGCTCTAAACACTATGTTATGTTATTAAGTATGCTGCTTGCCATGCAAAATTTTATATGCCTCTAAGGGATGGAACTAGGAGAAATATGTAAAATTTATACAATTTAAGCAGCAAAATTTTGAAGCCTCCTTAAGTAGAAGCTTTGAACATAGTTGGATCTATTTTTTTCAACATAGAGAGACGATTGATAAAGGTATTGCTTCTGTAGTTAAAATATGATGGTTAAAGGGGAGATTGTATTCTAAAGTATTTTGTGATATTTGAGTACTTATTAATTTAAAGGAAAATTCTATCAGGCAGTTATAAAGCTGCATAGTCCAGAATGTTGGATATTTTGGAAATGATTTATTTAAAAAATTAAGATTGCAGAGTTAAGAAGATGTGATGCATGTGTAAATTTACAAAGATGGAGCCAGAAATGCTTACTCCTACGAAGAATTAGGAACAATACTTTATCATGATTGCAATGAGGTATAATTGTTTCTGGAAGTTTCGGTATGCCCAACGGAGACTTAAAATGTGTCCTTGTGGTGAATTTAGTTAATACACATTGTTGGTGTTGAGAGAGGTAATGGATTCGATGAGCCTTAATTTTAGTAAGCTATGTTGTAATTTTTTAGGGATCAATTGTACTTGTCTGATGTTAACCAAAACCAACATGAACATTAGCTTCTTGCTTGTCCATCTGGTTGTTTAATGGCAGGCACTAATGCTATATCACCATTAAAGCTGTGCCTGGATAAGTGCCTGCAGATAGGAAGCTCGGGTCATTTGTTTATGCAACTGAAGATATATGTTTGGGTTCAAGTGGACAACAAAGACTTCTCTCGGCATATAAGCTTAGAGTTGTAGCGATTGGCACTTCTAATATGATAAGATTTTCAAAATATCTCTTCCTTTTACAAGAACTTTTATGAATGGCGCTGAGAAATATAAAGAAAATTATGTTTGATTTTTTGTGATGTTTACGAGGTTTCCATGCTTTGGTATCAACATTCTTCTATAGGTGTCGGTAAGAGTTGCCTCCTTTTGCGGTTTTCTGATGGTTCCTTCACTACAAGCTTCATTACTACCATCGGGTGAGTTATGTTTCAAGCACCGACAGTTACCTTTTTCTCTCCTTTTGAACTTCTCATCCTGTTGTTATTGCCCAATATCCACAACTTTGTAGTTCTGATTGCAATATCCTTGTCTTTACACAGTATTGATTTTAAGATAAGGACTATTGAGCTAGATGGCAAGCGGATTAAACTGCAAATTTGGGATACGGCTGGTCAGGAGCGCTTTCGAACTATAACAACTGGTAGTTTCTTTTTTCCTCTTTATGCAGTTGGTATTTTTACAGGGTGAATCTTGATATAGGTTGGCTTTTCCAGAAGCTTTGCTGGTCTAACAAATCCTATTTTCTTTTGTTGCAGCTTACTATCGAGGTGCCATGGGTATCTTGCTTGTTTATGATGTCACTGATGAGTCATCTTTTAACAGTAATCACTTTTTACACTTTTTGTTTTTATAGCTTAGTGTTTACATTTTTGCCTTGTGAGTTCCATGGTGCACGGTTTTTATGACATACAGACATAAGGAATTGGATTCGCAACATCGAACAACATGCATCTGATAATGTCAACAAGATTCTTGTGGGCAACAAGGCTGACATGGATGAGAGCAAAAGAGTATGTTCCCATTGTCCATTTTAGCTGGTTGCTTTACTTTTTTCCCTCGGTTTGTCTTTTCTCTTCTGCTAACATGGTGTTTAAACTGTGATAATACAGGCTGTGCCAACTGCAAAGGGACAAGCACTTGCTGATGAGTATGGAATTAAGTTCTTTGAAACTGTAAGTATTAAAGTGTTGGGTATCTTTTTACTTTTATAATTTCATGGTAATTCATACTTTATAATAACTTTGTTCTAATGCTGCAGAGTGCAAAGACAAATCTAAATGTGGAACAGGTCTTCTTTTCGATAGCTAGAGATATCAAGCAAAGACTTGCAGAAACCGATAACAAACCTGAGGTAGAAAGATTTTCTTTTGATGTTAAAATAGCAGAGTGAGTACCCTCATCATAGAGCTTAATTAGTTGTTTGGCTGCAGGATCGGACAATCAAGATTAACAAACCAGATCAGGCAGCTGCTGAGGGTACTGCAGCATCAAGATCAGCATGCTGTGGATCTTGAGAGAATGATGGGGGTTGTGTGGGATGGTTTGGGTGTAGTAGTCGTAACTAATTTGCTTGTCATAGGTAGTGATGCTATGATTATAATGGAGACACGGCGCGTGCTTGTGATTTTAATCCTTATAATTTTCGCTGACATTGGGTCTTAGACGGGTGAACTAATCCGACAATTCTTTCTCGCTTTGGGATTGCGAACTTGCGATTCCTATTCTATTGTCTTTTTGAAATCAGTGTTGGATTGAATGCTTTACCATCTTTCTGTCACATCAGCGTGCCAGATTTTGTCTTCCTTTATGTATATATTGGATCTCTCATGGTTTAGATATTATATATATATATATATATATATATATATAT